ATTATGTTAATTTCAGATTTCAGCATCCTTAATGTAATACTTTTGACTGGGAGCTACTTTATTTTTTTAATTTGGTGGTCCAGTGTTTTAGATTCCTATGCTCAAACTGTAAAGGAATGATTTTATTTTAATTCGTTCTAAAATGTAAAGGTGTAAGTATCATATTCTTACGAAGTCAAAGACCAAGAGATTCCAGCAAACACAAGCAAAGCCAACTTTCTCAGACAGATATCCACATCTGCTAGTCAGAATGGCAGCACTAAGACTCCACAGGAAAAATCAAGAGTGCATGAAAACTAGGTGTTCCTGCTCCAGCAGGGGGATTGGACTAGATGATCTTTCGAGATCCCTTCCAATCTCTAACATTCTGTGATTCTGTGAAAACTCAAGCAAAATTTGTAACAGGAAGGTTATATTTTATTAGGTCAACTAATGCATCTGAAGATAAGAAACAGACATACTTTTGTGTACATAAATATTCTGGCATGCACAGAGATGAAACTGGCATTCATTTTTGTTAAATAAACACTAATGTGTGTATTAAGATGAACAGAGAAAAGGGACAGCTCCTGGTAAATGGGGCAGACTTTTAAAATTCTTTTTGCTGCTGTGCTCTTATTATCTTGGGTGAAGAGAGTTGCCCTTGGCACTCTGAATTTCCTGGATAATTTTAACAGTTGTCCCTTTCCATTTAAAACTTTCTAAGTAGTATCTAAAGATTTTGGAGGAATAAGCACTGGGGAATGATGTGTAGAGCACTGTGATGAAAGTAGCCCAGAAACAAGATGTGGCTTTCAAAAGATTCTTCCCTTCCTTCCCCCACTTAAACCATACACAGAAACACATCCTAGGTGGTCGAGAAGGCATTGCCTGGAAGTACAAAGTGCCTGAATTTTACGTGTGATTGTTATAGTGGGTTAAAAGCTGGAGTCGGGACAAGGGCAGATCCCGCTGCTTCAGTATTTGTACATTTTGAAAAGCCAATTTGGCAAGCAGCATAACAAGAGCCTAACAAGTGGATGGACATATGGGGAGGTAAAATAATTGTGCATTAGGAAGACGGTGCAGATGTGAGCTGAAGGGCGTAACTCCATATGGCGCATTGCTGACCTTCAGTTGGTGCCTCAATGACAGTATGCGGTGCAGGCCGCACCATCTGAGGGATGCTGTACTGGGAGCGGGACCGAAACCAGACAGAACTGGATTTACACAGATCATCTGCTTCCTAGAAAAAGATAAAGCAGCTACTGACAGCTGTTGTGCCTGAGATCATCATGGTATTACTGCACCTTGCAACTCTGACACCTTCCCTAAACACTTAGTGTATACCATGCTTCAGGAAAAATACACTGTTACCACTACTAAAGTGATCGTGGCTCTTAATGCCTGTTAATCCCCTGTCCAGGATACCTGATTTCTGACCGTGTTCCTTATGGTTTAAAAGACTTTATGTGCCTTTTGAAAGGAAATTACTGAATCCTTTCAAACACAGATTATTAAAAATCTTGTGGTTAGCATGTTTATTTGAGAAACATCATGGATTTTTTTAATAAACTAACCCCAGAGGGATGTGTGTATTAGGTAGAATAGCTGTGGCACTCCATTAGTAAAGTGGGATGAGTGGAGGGTATAATTCTTCAACCTAGAAATCCTTTGATGACATACACTTGATAAATCCAAACTGTAAGTTACAATTTATTATCATTTGTTCTTCCCTTTCCCTTTTGGCTGTTAATCCTAACACTGACTAAGAGTTTGCCCTCATTTTATCAATGGCTGCTTGAAGAGCTCAGAAGGATTTGCTCCAGTATTCACCAGAAGTCTCTGATATATGAGATTGTAGGCTAACACCGATAATCTTTTGTGAGGAAGTGTCACAATACATACATCGATCATCTAAGCCTCTGTCTGTCAGACTCTCCCAACCCAACCGTATTTTTCATGACACAATGTGGCGCATGGCCTTTAAATTACCCATCTGTCTGACAAATCAGTGAGTGTGGCAGAAACTGGCAGCAGTTTGACGTCGCCTATCACTTTAACTGAAGTGAAAGTAATGCAAACAGATTTATGGGATCTCCTTTGATTATAGACTATGAATATATTTGGAATTGATGTTTAGGAAGAAGACACAACAGAAAGGCAGGAAAGGCTTGTAGGCAAAAGCACTAGTGTTGTGTTTGCAGCTTTGCTTTACTATGAGGGAGATTGTTCTGTTCTTAAATTTTTCCCTCCATGTACAATGCATCTCAACTGAATATGTCTCACTTTTTTTTTCATTTTTCTTTTTCTTTTTTATTTTTTTTTCTTTTTGTTCTGGGTGATTATTTAGCTATTCTAAATTAATAACTTTATAAATATCAAGGCTAGGTTTTCTTAAATGTGGTTGCAGTACAGCTATTAAATATATTTGTAGTGTTCACTGCATAGCAGTAAATATAGCTGAATTTCCAAGTGTGCTCTGAATACAATAGAGCACAGCAGAACACACATGGCTGTTGTAAGCTGACAAGGATGGCTCCTTGCTCCAATGCTGGTGAGGACTTGAGTTCTCTTATGGAGTAGAGCAAAGCACTGACAGGTTTTTTTGATCCAGTGGTTTATCTTTGTTGCATAAGTAACTAAGACCTTGGCTTTTGCCCTTTGATAACTCATGCAGAGACTCTGGCCCTAGAATAGTATTGCCTTGAACCTGATTCATAAACGAAGTCTGCTGTAACAAGCCTGTTTTTTTAAAAAGGGGGTTTTATCTTACTTACTGAGGCTGTTGTTGAAGCATAGTGGTGAATTCATGATGGTGAAAGATGGGACTGAGAACTGCTGAGTATGTGTCATGTACAGGCAACAACAGGTCCATTCAAAAAACTCTTGTCTGCAGCTGAGCTCTTGAAGTCCTAAACCATCCAATCCAAGTAAGCAGTAGGGTGGTACCATTTGGGTGTTAGTACATTTGTTGAATCATTTTCTAAGCTCTCCAGAGCTTACACAAGCTTCTCTTGATGCATGGTTTAGTGAGGTAGGTGGTGTTGGGTTGGACTTGATGATCCTTGAGGTCTTTTCCAACCTTAATAATGATTCTATGATTCTGCTTCACTTTCTTCAGAGAAGCCATGGACTTAAGTGTTCACTTCTTTTTTTTAAAGGAATAGTTTTCGTGAACGAAGGTGCAAGTGTTGGAAGTCATTTAATAAAACAGTTGTGGTTCAGCTGTGATGGCTTTTGCCCAGATTCCAGGGGAAATTGTGATTTATGCCATTGCCACAGAAACTCAGGCGTTCCCTAAACACCTTCAGAGTTTCCTCATGCCAGGCAGCACTGAGCTACCAGCAGTCTGTCGCTGGTACGGGTTCCTGTGTTCCCCTGTTATCACAGCCATTGGTAGCTATGGGGATCATGATCTACAGCTGCTTAGCTCTGAGAAAAGCTTTTCTGAATCGGGAGTCCTTCTCCTGAATTCTGCTTGGGGGATGTTGGTGTAACCTTGATCTGAATTTGGTTTGTTGCTTCCAGCATACAGTCTAAACTTTTGTCCAGTCATTGTGGCTCTGTGGGCCTTTCAAAACAGTGGAGGGAAGATGTCTTATGGGGCAGATATTCTTCTAAACAAACCAAACAGGTTTGCCTTGGAAAGAAATAAATGGGTAACATTCTCCTTTGTGCAGACCCCATTTTCATTAGGATGATTGCTGCATGGAAGAAGGTGCTGGCAAATGGAGTTCATCACTGATGGGATGGGTGCTTTCCAGACCAGAGTTACTTATTTGGAAACCGCATCCCAATGGGTTTGGGCTGTTGGCAGTGTCACTCCTGCATTTTCAGGCAGTCTTTGTCTCCAGCCTTTGGACATGATGATGAGAGGCCTTTTTGACTTCCGGGCACAGGCTTCTGCCAAGCTTGTGGCAGCTAGGTTCTTGCATAAGCATCTCCTCCCACCTCCCTAGGTGAGGAGGTGAAGGCAATTGTGCCAAGTGTTTCATCTCCTCACACAAGGTTGTGTCTGCAGGATTTCATGAGCCCTCTGCAGAAATACTGGGGTGGTTTGTAACAAAACTTAAGGGTCACGGTGAGGAAGAAGTACAGCAGGCAGCAGAGATCTTGGTGTCTGACTGAGGTTGCCATGTAGGTTTTGAAGTTCCCAGGAGCCTCTGGGTGCTTCCACAGCGAAGGCTAGCTGGTCTTTGGGGTCTGTCTCTCACCTCTTCCTGTCTGGAACCTCGTTAGTGGGAACATATGCGGAGCTTTGTTTTGGGTAAAGGAAGCCCTGATGTATTTGCATTTAGCCTCTAGCAGACTAGGACATCCCCAGTTCTTGCTGTTTTTCCAAACCCAAGCTACTCCTGTTTTAAAATTTCCATCCACAGTTTTCCCATTAGGTCCTGTCTGCCTGCATCCCACGGCCATTCTGGTAACACGCTCATTAGAGAGCCCTTTTTGCAAGTACCACACCTTGTTGGTGTTTGTGAGGGAAGCCATTTCTACATTAGTAGCACAGAAGACAGGTATACTATCCTAATGCAGTGTTCAAACCGTGGAGCTAGGCAGCGTCATGGTGAAAAAGAAAGCTACAGAAGGTGTATTTGCTAAGGTTGTTCCTCTGGTATAATCCTGTGTCTGCTATGAGTTTTTTTTCAAACACAGCTTTGTCAGTCAGGGACCTCACCAAGGCAGGCACAACTTTGGTGGAGCTGTGGCTTTAGGCATGTTCTGCATAGCTCTAGTAGCAGAGCAGAGGGCACACGAGCAAAGTCACACTGGGGTCCCTTTTGGTTTAAACTAGTCCTAGACTATTATCTGTAGGCAGGAGCTCTGAAACCAAAGGAAAGCATTGGTTTCTAGTGCTGACCTTCAGTACAGCGTGGTCTGAATGTCATGTTTAGGACCCAGTGAATGATAGAGATGAAGATCTCTAAGTGCAGCCTGGCCCCTGTGCTTCTAGTCCCTTTCGCTAACTGCTGAAACACCTGCTTTTTATGAATAATGAATTTTTTCTTTACCTCTAGGGAAGATGCATAAACTTCACCCGGGTGAAATCAGATGGAACCTCTGCCCCTTACAGCCCACCGCTGAAGCTGCTGCGGCGCGATGATGTTCCCCTCAACAATGCTCCGAGGAATCCTTCTTCTCCTGTGTCTCTTCAGCCCCCTTCCAGGCAGCCGCCTCCTGGTCCACCGCCATCCCGAGCCCCTCCTGGACCTCCTCCTTCGCGCCCACCCCCACAACCCATGGCTTAGAGTGCAGCAAAACCCTTGTCGACAAAACATGTCTCATTGCTGAACACGGCATATTTATTGAGTATTGGTTTACAGTTAAAGATATCAGAATTTGTTGCTGGTCAGCAAAAAAAGAAGAAAGAAAAAAAAAGAAAAATTGCCAAGTGTGAATTTTAGTGTATGGATATATTTATACCACATAGGCCGAGTAAACAGTCAGTGGATAGATTCAGAGCTATGGGGTATAGAAATAAACCAAAGTGATCATCTAGATACAGTAGCAGATTTTTGTATGTATACATTTAAAGATCTATTTACATATGACATTTGTCTGACTTGGTATGTCAGATCATTCATTAATAACTTTAAGTGGTACACATGCATCAGTTGTTTTGATAGCTGCCACCTGCAAGTTGTTTAAACATATTTCATTGAGGAATTTGCTTTCTTTTCCCCAACAGTACTGCATCCAGATGTTAGTATGGAACAATAATTGCAAAAATATGCCTTTTGTTCTGCATGTGGAATTTCCATGAATGTTTATAAGAAGGCTAGTGATAATGAGGTAAAATGAGACTATGTACCAATAATCTAGCAACAAGTAATCTAGCATAGAAGGGAGGTATCTTTTTCTCCTGAAAAAATAAATTTTGAGCCTGCCATCTCTGCATATGTTTAGACTTGGTTGCATAGGACAGCCACTGAAGGCCAGATACTGGTTCTAGAAATCCAAACGTTGGACAAGACCTGAGTTCAGATTTGTCCAAACTTCAGAGGAATGTTGAGAAAAACATTTTGGCTAGGTGTTCAGTTTTCATTTACAGAAAATATAGTCCAAAATGGAGCAAATAGACACGCAATTTAATCATGAATGCTGCAATATGGAAACAGTATATGTTTGTTATTTATATCAGCAGCAATGAGGGACTGATTCCTTTGCTATTTCATTAGATAAATTTCCTTTTGATCATACTGACAAGCAGAACTAGATCCTCTTGTGATTCAAACATGAATTCCTCCATGAGTAGTTTTTTCTTTAGGCAGCCCCGATCCCACTGATACGTAACCTTGCAGTCTACCTGTGGTTGAGAGGCATGGCATGATGTGTCAGTATGACCTTTTATCCCTGTTTTACATAATGTTTGGCTACAGCATTTCCCAAACATTGTGACTGCTTGCCCATGACCTCAATTCTTTGTGTCATCAGAAAGTGATGTGAGCACCCACACAGAGGTGGGAATTTATGACGTGGGACTGTGGGTCAGCCCATGGATAGTGTTCACTAAGCAATACCTGAGTGGGTTGTGCCCAGATCATTCCCTAGTGAATCAAAATAATACCTGAGCTTGCTTTTTCTCCACCACCACCTATCTGTCATATTGTATGGGAGAGGGTGGCTGCACATCCTTATGCTGGTTTGCTTTGGCACTGGCTGTAGAAATAATGTTTAAGTTGCATTATGACACAACATATACCTATCTCTCCATCTGTGTGTAGGTGTGTAGCACATCACAGTAGTTATTGGCACATAAGTCCAAGATAAAACACTAACTGTATCATGCAATTACTCCAGATTTAAGGCCTCTTTGTGCAGTTGTTACAGCCATATAAAGTTGCACTGGTACAAATAGAAATCAGGCTTACTGTTTCCAGTGGCAGTCCTACTTGCAGAACACCCTACTAAGCTCTCATCGATCTATGCTGATCACTGTGACACGCTGTGTATATGCAGCTGAGGCTGTCAAATATAAACTCAGAAGAACCACAGAGCCTCTTTCTCCTCTTGCACTGCTCTGCTCTCTTGAGTTATGCTCTTACCTCATATATATTGGTGCAAGTAGTGGAATCACACTCATGAGTGCCTGCTGGCCTTGGAGCTTTTCCTAATTTAGGCCTGAGCCAGCAAGGCACTTCTGCATGCATTAAAATGTCCTGCAGGTTAAGAGGAACATCCTTATGCCCAAGTACTTTGCTGACCTGTGATTCATTGTGATCAGAAAGGAGAACTGGGATGCATTCAACCCTGTCCTCATTCTTTTTAGTCACTTGAATAGGGTCTGCATAATTTGGTCCATAAGAATGGATTTCTGTTTGGAGGAGAGAGAAGTGTGTGTATGTGTGTGTGTATCTGAGTTTGCATGTGGGAACTGTGTAGGTTTTTGTTTGGTTTCTCTTCCTTTACAAAATTGCTCAAAGAGTAGCACTCCTTTGAATTGAAAGGCCTTTTGAAGCCAGTGTGACATACAGTCATCACTTACTTGCTTATCTCCATTTCTTTCAGTTGAAAGGGAAAACTAAAACGTCCAATTTTCCACTTCAGTTCTGGTGAAGCTCCACTTTTGACACCAGTGAAAGGAACTGGATGACGGCAGTGAGGGGGTAGGGACATGGATGCAGGGCAAGGTGCTTTACAAGCAGAGATCATTGGCTGACGTTATTTTGGTCGTACCGAAGCCTATGGGAAATAACCTTGCTGGGTCTAAGACCAGTTGTAATGTGTACATCACAAATGATGTAATAATAAAAGGGAAAACTTGCTTATAGCGTTTGATAATGTTGAATTGATGGGTCAGGAGTAAAATTTAGCTAATGAAGAAGCCTGGGAGACAGATTTTTTACTGTCTTGCACCTTTACAGACCTTGAGAGGGGTTAGCAGAGTTGTTGCAGATTTGCAGGATGTTGGTAATATTTGATTCACTTCCCGTAAGAATGGGGGTGTTGGCTTAGGGAGGGCTTCTCACAATCACACATCCAACATGCCTGCTTGCAGTTGAAGGCAATGTTCTTTGCTAGAATAGCCAGTCTTGCAGACGGAACAGATATGAAGTTTCTGCATAACTTGCAAGTGCAGCGAGGATAGGAGTGGTTTGGGCTTCCAGGTGATCAGATCTGTTTATGATAGAGCAGGAAGCACTATGAATTTGAAAACTAGATTCAGCACCAGTGGAGTTCCCAGCATTTTCACTGTATAAAATTAAGCATTTGGTATGTCACTCAAGTTTTGGCTGCAGCTTCTGTGACAGGAGCACTGCAGGTTTAGTTTGCTGGTAAAGCTGGAAGAAGAGAAAGTGAACCTGAACTGAATTGCCTTTGCAAAGGTAGGGGCAGTGAATATGCTGCACTAGTTACAGAAGGGCCTTTTGGTTGTATAGAAGTGTGCCCATTCGCAGTGATCTCAGACACTGTAACAGTGCAGTAGGAGAAACTGGTTGCTATTTTACCATCTGTTGAGGTTGATCCTTACCTGGTGTAAATCAACATAGAGCAACTGAAATCAAGGCAGTAATACTGGTGTCTGTCAGCTGAAAGCTGGCTCAAAATAAATGAAAGGACAAAAGCCCTCTAACTGGCTTTGTATTTCAATGTTTGTTTCGGCATGCTTGTGTGTCAGTCGTGATTACAGCAGTTACACTGCTAGGAAATGTTCTCATGTGGGATGATTCCTCTGTATTTTCCAATATATAGCATCGTTTGAAACTTGCAAAAAGAGAGTATCTATTGCTTCACCAAATTCAAGAGAAAAATGGGGATTCAGGGGACATTTGCCTCACACTTAGCACAGATGTGAAATGACACAAGGTGCAAAGCAGTGGGGAGGGAAACCCCATGAGTTTAAAACTGATATAGAACTGAATTGATCAAAGCGTATTTATGGCCATCTTTAACCTCAGTGCATGTATTGCCATCTGTGGGAGTAGCCTGCAGAGCAGACGGTCCTAAATGTGAAAAAGAAAAAAAAAAAAACCAAAAAAAAAACAGCTCCTCATCTGAATGAGTGAGTATAACAATGAATGACATTATTTCATGAACTGTACCAGTTCAAGTGCACGTGCACCTGGTGCTCCTAAATGCTTTTTACTCCTGTTGCTCTTTAGACAACATGATCAGTAATGTGCTTTCTCTCTTTAATCGTTTTCTGGTTTTATTGTACTTTGTTTTATATTTTTTTTAAAAAAACATATTTCAGTGAGAAAACAGCCCTACTTCTGTAAATATAGAGTTTAATTTGGAGGGGACAGCACACTTCTGGATGTTACTGCTGGACAGTTATTTATTAAAAGGGACTTAAGGTAAATAAATACAGGTGGCTCAGGATACATGCATGCAGTGTGATAATGCAGTATAGCATTTCCAGTTCTCTGTAGTTTCGGGGGAAGGGGAATTTTTGGGTCATCCTAGTTTGTTTAGAAGTTTATTACTGATCTGATACTTTTGAATAATGCAATAGAGATTCCTAACATATAACAGTGCTTGAACAGTTGTGTAGATTTTTTCATTTGAGGGGGAGGGAGTAGTGAAGGAGAAATGTTTTAGTTTTTAAAGGAAAAAAATGTACTGTACTAAAGATTTTTAGAAAAAGATGTATGTTTTCAGAAACAGTAGGGATGGGGGCTGATAGACAGCCGGGGCATGGAGATGAGGGACAGAGGAAGCAGTTGGAATTTTGAGGGACAAAGAAGTTTTACATGGGGATATGGGTTTGTTACTGGTACATGTGGTACAAATTTCTGTAACTGACATGCTGCTTCCATGTTATAATCATATAACCTTTATGCATTTTATGCGCCCGCTCCATTTTTTCTGAGAAAACCTTGCAAATGTAATGCCTGCACGCAAATGTGGGAGATGTAGCCGAAGTTTTATAATCCAACATAATGTAGTTTTAATGGGATCAAAATCAACAATAAAAGTGCTTACTGGTTAAACACTACAGAGAATTTCATTGCAGGTTCATTTTAAGAGGGGATAAGCTTGTCTGTACCTGAGGAGAATATGGGGCTGGGCTGTCAGAACTCCCATACCCGAGTTGCTACTGATTTATTATTTGACTAGAGAGAAGGGTATATTCTGTGCCTCAGTTTCCTGTTTCTAGCCTGAGAATTTAGATTTCTGCCTAATTCAAAGGTAAGCCATCGTTTGTTGGAAACCCTTTGAGATCTCAGGTAGCAGGGTAAATTCCGCTCAGTAAATTCCACTGGACTCAGTATTCAAACATCGATTGACATACGGGGCAGGATCT